TGAACCGAATCATTTAAACAGTTGATTCATTCAGGAACGAAACACCGTCCTGTTGCTCAGAGACGCAAAACAGCGCTGTGGCTTTGTTTGGAATTATTTTTGTTGGCGAAATAGAGCAAAAACAGGCAATATGGTGTCTAAAACGTAAGTCTCTAAATAAAACTTCTAGTTTATTGAACTGTTGTAAAAAATCAATATCACATTTGTATATGGTAATTTTTGGAGAAAAAAAGGCACTCTTCCGTGTGAACTTGAGTATAAATATACACATTTTCTGCCCCCATGTCTTGAATTTGTGATCATTCTGAATGTATTTTAATAGACTGAATCATGCAGTGATCAGGCAGAGCACTAGACTTCACATAATGCGTGCACTCTGTAGGTGTTTTGAATATTCGTTTTTTTTGCGTCGTGAGAATATTGAGCAAAATAGCTCACTTGTCATGGTGTTATTTAACTAAACATTGTGAATTTTTACCTCAGTGTGTTTCTTCTGAGTTTATGTGTGCTGTCATGCTCATTTGTTCTGAAGTCTCGAGACAAACAGAGTGAGCCTCAGGCAGCGCGAGCTTGTATTCTGCGAACTTACTGCAATTCTCTTTGATGACGCAGTAACTTACCGCGGGTTTCTTCGGTCTGTCCAATGATTGTAAAGTCGTTAGGTCCGTCAGACTGAAGATATTTTAGCGGTAATGAGACCAAAAATAATTAAGACCCATCGAATCCGAATTTAAGACATTTTAAGACTTTTTAAGGCCTTATATTAGGAAAACGTTATTTAAGACCTTTTAAGACTTTTTAAGGACCCGCGGACACCCTGCTCACATAAAAATTTGTATAGAACTATTTTGGATGCCTTTTGCTTGTAAATTGGGCTTGATATGTGCATATTTCTCTCCTGATTCAGATGAGATGACTTTTTGTTTAATTTTTTTTTACTGGAGAAAGCAATATTATGGATAGAAGACTAGAAAATGTCTTAATGATGGATTTCTTACAAACGTCTAACAGCTTTTCAGTTCACAAGACATTAACTGATGTACTTGTGGCTTATTGTGATGTTTTTATCAGCTGTTTCAACTCTCATTCTGACGGCACCCATTCACTGCAGAGGATCCATTGGTTCAAATGCTAAACCTTTCCAAATCGGTGAAGAAACAAACTCATCTACATTAAGTATCGAGTACATTTTCAGCAAATTTTCATTTTTGGGTGAACTGTTCCTTTAAACGAAATGAAAATGAGACAGTAACGCAACAAGATCTGTGCAAAATGAATATCCATGCAAGAAGAATGCATCCGCGTAGGTTCCCTATTCTCCACACAGAAACATGACAGATGTATTCAGGCCAAGAGAGGCTAGAACGTCTTGACTCTTTTTACAGGAGTACAAGAAGCTAAAGGCTCTCTGGAGACGCCACTATCAAGCAGCTGTGAGTGCCTAATAATGCCTGGATCCACGCCAGCTGAAATTTTTCAAAACAGACACACACACACAGCATGGGCACTCGTGAAAGAGATGAATCGTGAACATTTAAGGGTGTTCACACACACACACACACACACACACAAACACACAGTACATGTGGGTGTGAGTCTTTTGATGAATCGAAACCGGACACGTTATTACAGCAGTGAATTATTAACGTTAGGTAAGCTATGGCGCAGTCCTAGAAATGTCATTTGTTAAAATTTCTAACCAGTGACTGAAACACCAGGGGTCCATATTTGTCTGTGTTGTCATCCAGAATGGAGAACAGTGTGTCGAGGATGTCTTGAAGAAACTGGAGAAGAAAAACAGAAAATGGATGTAAATTACATTAAGCAGACATTAAAATCTGTTATTTTTTAAAGACAAAAAACAAGACAGAGCTCTCACTTTGACTATTTCTTCCCCACAGACGTGCCGCAGTCGCCCCAAAATGTCCATTACACGGTCTGGATGGGCTTTCCACTTCAACAAGGCTAGTAGATCGACTTCCCCACACAAACACAAGAAAGTGTTACTATACTCTGAGAAGTATACACAACAACTGATGAATGAAGGACAATTGCTAGTAAGTGTTAGTAAATTACCATTCTGAGTCAGTTTGGTGGAAGAGAGCTGAGTGGATATCCAGAGGGTTTCCTTAGTGCTGCGCTGGAAGATGAGGCTGGACGGGATGTTGGGGCAGCCGTTGAAGTCGTCTTTACAGCAGGGCAGACCCAGGTACAGCGCGTGGTTACTGAAGGTGGTGTTTTCATCACACTGATCCACATACAGAAGAGAGATTTACAAGTTAAACAGGGTTATTATCATTAGCTAAAACTGATACATAAATAAATTCAACTTGAAATAAAGTAAATGAAATAAAATGAAATGATACGAAGTATAAAAACTTTATTTCTGCTAGATGCCAAGGTAACATTTAGTTTAGTTTTAGTTTAACTTAAAGTACCAAAATAACTAAAAAATAAAACTGAAATAAAGATTAAAAAAATCTATATAGACATAAAAACCCTGAGAAAAGTCACAGACACAATACTAAATTACATCAATAATAATAATAATAAATAAACAATAAATAAAAATGAAATGAAATAAATTAACATGAAAACAGAAAATGTAAAAAAAAAAAAAAAAAAAAAATAAAAAA